GAGTCTCGAGAGAAATGTCACCAGAACTTTAACAATTTCCATCCTTCCATCAAACGAATTCTGGAATATTCCACCTAGCAAATTCATTTCTTAGACATTACAGTGAAGGTTTGCAATGGCCACATCATCACCACACTGTAGCAAAAACAAAATGACTGCCACAGCTACCTTCACCCTACCAGGTTTCATCCTAAACACACCCAGATCCATCATTTATAGCCAAGCTCTATGTCACAACTCCTCTGCTGTCTACATCCCTACCTCAAAGAATGAATGAACACTGATCTAATATCAGCTTTAGAAAAACATATAGGCCTGCTTTAACCTCTCTGAATACACTGTTGCTGACCTAAGGGTGTCTGCTCGCAGCAAACATTTAAAAACTGATTTGAACAGGAAACTGATGAACAAGAAATCATCCTTAGACTGGATTCTGTTAAGTATGGTTTAAACAGGGGCTTCAGATTCTCATCCCATTACTTGGGGCTTGGGACAGAAATTACACATAAACCGTTATAAGGGTGCATATACAAATGCTGAGAGGCTGCTCTGATGCATTGTAATTACAATTAATTGAGTCTGCTGGAGTGTGATAATTACTGTATTCCAGCAGACTCCAGCATCATGTGTATCAGGATCCCTGCACTGAAAAATGGTGGCAGGGGCATTTTAAACTAAGGCCGGTTCAACAAGCTTTAGTTAAAGCGCCCCCACCGCCATTTTTCAGCATAGAGATAATTAATTAAAGCAGCCCTCAAAGCCACTCTAATTAAAGCATCCTCCCCTCTCCCGCCGTCTCCCAGAGCACATCTATAAATGCCTGAAGTGAACAGAAACTAATGGTTTTAAAATGATGGAATCCAGATAAAGATAGACCTGGGTAGATATAGTATCAAATTGAATCACTTTAGGTTAGACCAGTCTATCAAACTTTTGTTCCAGATCCCCTCCCAACACAAATTAGGTTGCAGTCCCTTGGCATCCTAGGATGTATTATGGTGCCCTGCTAACCTTTTGTTGCAGGACAGGCTTGCCTCTACCCCAGCTCCTCTGCTCCAGCTGAGCCAGGTGGTAAGGGAGGGAACAGACTCCTGCTCCAGCCCCAGCCCTCACTCTTGCTCCCACCCCACTTCCAGCCAGGGTCTGCAAGTGGAAAGTTGGGGGGGGAAGCCTCTGAGGGGGAGGATTTCCCCCTGTAGCCTAGCTCTGCCTGGCGGTGAACACTGCAACCCAGCCCCTGCCTCTCAGGGAGTGGCTGGAGGGGGGGGGAGGGGTGGGG